TTTCCTTTCTCCAAACAAAGTATATTCTGATTGAAGCCACTTAATATAAATTAATATAGATATAGAGATTTCTCTGGTAGCTGTGAGTATACGTTAATTTGTCATCATTGTTTCTCCTTACACACTCCTTATATAAACGTTAGAAATCCTAACAGTCTTTACTTTCGTTGCAAAAATCTCATCTGTCGACACTCAAGTTCACGTAAACACTCTCCAATCCACTAATCCTTACAAAATCTCATCATTCTACTGGCCTTACCCTGGAAGTCATTCTATTGTAATTGGAATTATTTGAACCTGTCTTTACTGTATTTGGTATCCAGACGATAATAAAGGATAATCTGTTGTAAGTTGCGAGCACTAAACGAACCGATACACTGTAAGTCATTCCTTTAAAATTATAACAGCTTCTACAACGAACAATAACAATCTACATCACCTTCTTAACTCCCTTTCTTTTATTTTCTCACGACAAAATTATTTGGTGCCCGAGGTGAGGTACTGCGAAATTAACCATAACAAATAATTATAATTGGAAATCCCTATTGATATGACTTCTGTTATACTAGAGAGTATAAAACCTGTAAGGAATCGACTAATAAACATCCTCTAAGAAGTAAAAGCACTAGATGTCGGATTGTCAGAACAAAGTTTACCACGTTCAGAACAACTTCAAATACATGAAGCTAGAAAGCGACTTTTTGAAGAAAAAATTATGAGAGTACACATGTGCATTCAATCACTTCAAGAAGCAAATGACAGATGGATCGATTATCGGTCCCTTACTACATCAAGAAAAAAAGGGGAGGAAGAGAAATATCAAGAAGTAACGGTGGGAGAACAAGAAATTTTTAATTTAATACATGAAGCAAAAGAAGCCGTCATTACTTTTTTATCAAGAGGAAATTGACTCCGAAATCCAGAAATGAATACCAAATCCAAACCAGCAGCACGCATGACCAACAGAGATAACGAAGCCAACTCCACCTACTTATACTAATGTCAATCTTCCTCAATTATCTTTACCTGTTTTCAATGGCGATCCACGACAGTAGCTTTAACGCTGCTGTCCACTTACAAACCATCCCGGAAATCCAAAAACTAAACTACTTAATCTCCTGTTTAAAAGGATCAGCACTACAAGCCGTAAGAGGTTTTGATATTGCCCCGGAAAACTATGAAGTTGTGCGAAAGTTGTTGACCGAAAAATATGGAGACTCATCGATGACAACCAAATTATTATGCAACGCACTACAATCCATAAAACGAAACAAAAAGGAATGGATTGAAACCGTTGAAAAAATGGAAAGAATCTTCCGACAATTGGAAGTGCTGGGTGAAAATTTGGAACATTCCAGTATAGAAAGTGTAGTTGTAAGCCGACTACCGCGATGGATACTTGACAAAGTATACCATCAGAAAACTAACGATTCCCCATGGTCAATATTAAAACTACGAAGATTTCTTGGGAAATTAATACAAGTCAACGAAGAGGTAAGAAACCAGTTTACATCTACTCAAATGGAAAGAAAACCCATTTTGTCCAAATACAAACAAACTCCAAAAGGATATAATGAAACTTCAGCACTAGCAACAATTCATAATGAGAAGAAAATTCCTTATTCAATAAAGAAAAGGGGAGAAAACGAAACTAAAAGACCATGTACATTTTGTAATCAAGATCACTGGGATAGTGAATGTCAAGTATATCCAACTGTGAAATCTCGAATGGAACGTCTCAAGGAAACAAAGAAATGTATTGTCTGTCTAAAGACACATCAAGGCGAAGAATGTAGAAGAAAAGTAAAATGTTTTTACTGCAAAGCTGCTCATAATAGTGCGCTATGTGAAAAAAGAAATTAATTACATCAGAGCAAAACTTCAAGTCTCAACATGAGCCAAACAAATGAAGAAATCAGCAAATCAGAAGATTATTCGACTAGCTACAATCCGACAATGGTCGCTCAAACTAATGCGATAACGAAAAAACAAAATAAAGAAACTCTGTTATTATGCAAGGAAATAACTGTATTTAACCCATTATTGCCAGAAGAAAGAAAGAAGCCTTGGCATTATTTGATATTGGGTCACAGTTATCGTTCATATCAAAGGAACTAGTTCAATGACTAGACTTAATAGAAACTGATGAACAAGGGTTAAAACTAACTCCTTTCGACATTAAGAATCCTAAGTCACGCATAATCACTCAAACTCAACTTAATGTAAAAATAAATGCAGATGAGACTATCCAATTACGCGCCAATGTAATCGAATACTTAACTAATGAATTACATGTTGTCAAAATACCAATAGCCAACCACACAATGAAGCTAAAAAATTATTGGAAACGACCTGACATCTTAATCGGAGCAGATCATTTCTTCAAATTTGTGGAATTGGAAAGAATCGAAACATTAAAATCAGGATTCTCACTACTTCACACAAAAGTTGGAACCAATGATTGCGGGAAGTGGCGATATAAACCAATTGTGTGAAAAAAGTACGACACATATTTCCAACACAATATCCACTTTAACCATAGGATCAGAAATAGAAAATTTCTGGAAACTAGAAGTCATGGGAATACAAGAAGGACCTAATGCCGATGGCGATGAAGAGGCACTGAAGCAATTTAAG